GTCTTATATGTTAGGGGAGGAGTCTCACATGTTAGGGGAGGACTTTCACATGTTAGGGGAGGAGTCTCACATGTTGGGGAGGAGTCTCACATGTTAGGGGAGGAGTCTTATATGTTAGGGGAGGAGTCTCACATGTTAGGGGAGGAGTCTCACATGTTAGGGGAGGAGTCTCACATGTTAGGGGAGGAGTCTCACATGTTAGGGGAGGACTTTCACATGTTAGGGAAGGAGTCTCACATGTTAGGGGAGGACTTTCACAAGTTGGGAGAAGAATCATACATATCAGGAGAGGAGTCACATGTGTCAGGGGAGGAGTCTAACACATTAGGGGAGGAGTCTTATGTGTCAGGAGGGGAGTCTCACTTGTCAGGGCAAAAGTCCAACATGTCAGGGGAGGGGTCTCGTGTCTGGGAAGGAGTCCATCATGTCAGGGGAGGAGTCTCACCGGTAATGGGAGGAGTCTCGTGTCTGGGGAGGAGTCTCACCGGTTATGGGAGGAGTCTCGTGTCTAGGGAGGAGTCTCACATGTGCTCCATTCCATGTTCATTGGGATGTATGAATAAAAGGAGTGCAGAAATGTGTGTACACAGTTTAATGCGTACGTATTTTTCCACTTTCATCCATATGACAGCTTACAGTATGAAAGCCATGCACTCTGATAAATGAGCCCCAGAACTCATTATACCAGCAGGCTTCTAAACGAGGGGTTGYATCAGCTAGTCAAGTCGATTGTAGGAGATCTTGTGAGTTTTTTAAATTTTAATGTTGACTGGTCGCAGTCATGTARCTGCTGGCTACATAATGGATTCCCAGAAGGTGGAAGCAGTGGAGCAGGCCAAGTCTTTGCTAACAGGAGCAAGAAAAAAGTAGAACTAAAGTAAATGCTGTTGCTACACCTCCTCCTCTAGGTGTAACTAACAGACAAATCTCTCCTCCTAAGGACAAAGCTAGCTTCTCTGCCTTTACCTCAGCAGCCACAGCTCTCCTACATGAGGCAGCTTTCTGAGCCGTGGGTTTCATTGAGCTTCTAGTCGTGTTCCCCTTCAGAAAAAAAGGAAAATTTCTCATTGAAAAACATCTTTCACTGACCTCACTCTTTTCCCAGTCTTTGTTTTGCTTCATTTCTGATTTTTTTACATTGTTTTTTCCATTATTATCTGCATAAATAAAATCCATGTTCTTGTACTGTTTTTATTTAAGAATTATTTTAACACAGTGACAGTGCATGTTGTGATTGACAGCTGACTGCATCTTTGCCTTCCTCTCCTCCCTTCCTCCTGCAACGGAGGCAGAGACTGAAACAAGGAGGCATATTTTAATGTTGCAAACTGCAACTATTAAATAACGTTTGTTGATTTTTGATTTTCTTTTTATGACTTTTTGTAAGGTGACCAATGTGTTGCATTGTGAGCGTCAGGCCTTGTGTGAAACACATGCTCTGCTTTTTGGAGCCATGCATGTGCATCACGCTCAGGTGGCATTGTGTTGGTCAGTCAGCACCTGACTGTTAGGTGCTTGGTGCCATGTTGCTGTTTTGGTGTACCATGTGTATTGGGCGAATGTGCCCTGTATTTGTGTGGTTAAGTTGCAGTGATGGTTCTGTGGCAGGCACCCCGGCCTATAACGTCTCAGTGACCAGACTCTGTCGACTCAACTTTTATCACGTTGACATCAACCTTAAAAAAATCTGAATTTGTACAACCCCTGTTCTAAACATAAACTGATCAAACAAAGGGCAGAATCAAAGCTGCAAAGTTTGAACCTTTCTGTTCTGTTTTATGTGTGACAAAACTTACACATGACCCTCTGAGCTATGGAACCTAAAGTCCAGTTCTGACAGAGCTGTGGAACTTAAAGTCCTGTTCTGACAGAACTGTGGTACCTAAAGTCCAGTCCTGACTGAGCTGTGGTACCCAAAGTCCAGTCCTGACTGAGCTGTGGTACCTAAAGTCCTGTTCTGACAGAACTGTGGTACCTAAAGTCCAGTCCTGACTGAGCTGTGGTACCTAAAGTCCAGTCCTGACTGAGCTGTGGTACCTAAAGTCCAGTTCTGACTGAGCTGTGGAACCTAAAGTCCTGTTCTGACTGAGCTGTGGTACCTAAAGTCCAGTTCTGACTGAGCTGTGGTACCTAAAGTCCAGTTCTGACTGAGCTGTGGTACCTAAAGTCCA